CTTCGAGTTGAATTTGGATTTTGTGAGCATAAAAGCTAAGACAATAAAAATGGATAATAAATTAATTTCTCCTGAGATGCTATGCTCGATCGAGCTGAAAATTTTATTACAGACACTAGAAACTGTTTGGAATGAATATCTTTGTATTCTTTTTCTATAAAATCTACTCAACAATTAGAAAAATACCTATCCCACACAATGTATAGAATGTATGAAAATTCAATTGAATATACGCTGAAAACGAGAGTCAAACTTGCAGTGATTACAGAAGGGTATGGGTGTGGGTGTGATACTTTTCTTTACTTACATCCACAGCCTTTCACAGCCACCTACGTCCACGCCCACACCCACACCCCATCCACCCTACACCCACACCCACACCCACCCACACCCACACCCGAACTCGATAGCTATTAATATTGGTGATTTATTATGAAAATACTGATGCCTGTATCTATCATATATCTCTTATAGATTCGTGATGTTGCTTACGATCGTAATCGCGCTAAATACAAACACAAATCCATTCAAAAATAACTCTTCTTACCCAGTTTTCCAAGCTGAACACGAATCTGAACTCAATTTCTGTGATTTCTAAAGATATTATATCACTCTGAGAGTAGTCAGTGGTCACCGGATAGGATCGCATACAGTGTGCTCGATGCTAACTTAGCACGCCTGTGTTTTTCTCCTTGTAATTTAGTAACAAGAGATGTATCTTGACGAGCTCTGTCTTGCAGAAAAAAATAAATACAGAGCCTACTGCACCAAGTGAGAAAAGTTCAAAATACCGCCCCTCGGAGTATGCGATTTCGTTGAATTTACGCAGTTTTTGGCTTATATCACTTTTTTATCTCATAACTTACTCACTTGGGTGTAGTGAATTTATAGATTAAACTGTTTTCTGTCCAATTGAGACCTTCTTTAGCTCAAAGGGCCAAACCGTTCACGAGATAAAAACAAAGTGAATATACCTTTTCACTTTTTGAAGTACACATAACACTCGGATTTAAATCCGAGGTTTTCGCATTTATTTATCATTTGGAACTGATTATGACCAACGTTTATGTCAAGAATTAGCTGCATGTGGTTTCTATCATGTGAAAGATACCAATGATATTCGTTGTGCATATTGTACAGTTTTAATTAAACCAAAAAGAAATTTATCTATTATGTCTTAACATCGAGTTTTAGCTAAACAATTAAAAAAATCTTCAACTGCTGATTATAAATCATATCTGATCGAATGAAAAAGTTTGAAGTTTATTAAAAAATATTATAACGTTTTCGATAGTTTTATACGTGAAAGAGCCGAAGCCGGATTTTTTCTTGATAGGGAGTGTTTTATGTTTTGTATTTAGATTATTAGTTAAATATATGTAAATATTTTCTAGCAATTATACATATGAGATGCTTTCAATATGGAAATTCATTACCAATTTCTGATAAAGAACTACATAAAATATATTCTGAATATGATCTAATAAAATTACATGCACATTTCTATCCAACATGTGAATGGGTAAAAGAAATATTAGGACCGAACTATATAGCACAAATTCTTTCTGATCGTAATAAATCAACTAATTCTTATTCCTAAAATTAAATTATATATTCTCTTATCTGACTTGTTTTCTCAGGTAATACTGATCTTACATCTGATATTGTATGTAATATGTCTGATTATTCTGATCAAGACGATGACGAAACTATTGATCTAGTCGTTAAAGAACATTATATCAATAATAACACATCAGTACAATCACTATCAACATCTGAAGCATTACAGATTATTCACAACACAAACTTGTGTGGATACTCTTCCAAACGATAGTCAGGACCAACGGATATCACTTATTCAGAATTATCCAATGAATCCATTTCAAAAATGGATTTTAGAAAAATATATTCAAAAATGATATAATATTAATAAGAGAAAACAAGCAGTTAGAGATTGAAAAAAGAATGTGAATGAACATATACTTGCCACCAATAACCATTGAAAATTAACCATTATTATTCACGAAATTTACACATAACTTTCGTGAAGTAAAGAATTTTATCTCATTCGAATCAACACGATATATTTATACTAATCTTATCCAAAAATGTCATCGTTTTCATAGTTTTGAACTTTATTTTGTTCGTATCTAAACTGGGCTGTGGTTGTCTATTTGAGCGATGAACATAACGGCAATCAATCTCTATATCCTCATTCACCTTTTCTTTTTTTTATTCTCATGGTCAGAATCAGATTTTTCCTTCTTGCTGTCTCCTAATATAATTCAGATCAAACGAAAGTCGCTGGTTGACTCTTCAACATCATATGCGTTGTACCGTCATTTGAATGGTCTTTTTTTAAATAAAGAAAATTTGTATTTATCTATACACATTATAAACGAACGATAACAAATCAAAATCACCATCTGTTGATCCTCGTGCACCTTTTGCATACGAATCCAATCGGTTAGATTCATTTAAAAAACAAAATCGCGAAACATTTGCTCAAGTCAAGATTGAAGAACTTGCATATGCCGGCTTTTATTTAGATGCTGCAGGTACTCATGTTAAATATCCATGGTGTATTGTTGAATTATCTGAACAAAGATTTGAGGATATAATACGTCGACGACCATCTTTCCCTGTTTTACCACTATTAAATGATGAACCATGGACAGCAATGCGTGTACATATGCATGAAAATGAACAGTTGCTGGATAAAGATAATTCATGGTGTTTATGGATTCGTCGAAAACCAGATGGACACTATC